AAGACACAGTAGACTTCTGTTGTTTACATTAAACATATTAATCTCAGTAACCAAGGGAATTAGCTAAATAGCCAACAAAAATGAAAAACAAATATGCTGTGGATATTGGTCTGTATAAATAAACACTGATTGGCTAGTAGCCCAACAGGAAGTATAGGCAGGACTAAGAGAAAAGAGAATTGAAGGAACAGGACAAGAAAAATGTAAGGTACCAATAAGCCATGAGCCATGTGGCAAAGTATAGATTAATAGAAATGGGCTAAATATAAGAGTAAGAGCTAGACAATGATAGACTTGAGCTAATGGCCAAGCAGTTTAAATTATGTAAGAGTCTGTGTGTTTATTTTATAAGTGGGCTCTGGGACTGGCGAGACTTGGTGGGAGCTGGAGAGAAATTCTCCAGCTATACAAATACATGGGAATTTAAATTGTCATAGGTAGACTGTGTCTTAGTCAGGGTTTCTATTGCTGTGAATAGACTTCACAACCGTATCAACTCTTATAAAGGAAAACATTTGATTGGGGCTGGCTTATAGGACAGAGGTTTAGTCCATTATCATCATTGCAGGAAGCATGGCAGCACATAGGGAGACACGGTACTGGTGAGTAACTGAGAGTTCTCCATCCCTATCAGCAGGGAGCAGAAAAAGACAGTAGCACTGGACCTCACTTGAGCATCTGAAACCTCAAAGCCTGCCTCCACTGACACACTTTCTCTCAGAAGCTCACACCTACTCCAACAAGGGCAAACATCTTAATCCCTCTAACTCCTCTCCCTATGAGCCCACAGAGGCCATTTTCATTCAAACCACTACAGAGTCTTTTCATTTCTATAAAGAACTTACTGTTATTAAATATTAAATATTGATTCTTGTAGGAAAAATAAATTTTAGTGATTGGATAATCAAATGTTAAGCTGAAAGAGATTTACCATTTTTTAGAATATTCTCAAAGGAATTTGCTTTCGTGAATTGCCTCCTTTCCCTCATATGTTATTACTGTTGTTCTTGCTATTAGAACTGTAAAGAATCAAAAGTACCTTCTGTTACAATTCCTAGCCACTCACCCAGCTACATGACTATGTGTGTGCTGTCCAGTAGTCAGGCAAGATGGTTAATCATCCCAGGGCCTTATGTCCTACACAACCCATGTACTGCGTGATCATGTAACTTATGAGCAGTGTGATCACATAATCTATATGAATACATGGCATAGCTATGTAAACCCATGTGCACGTGTATGGGGGAGAACCTATAAGAGAGGGTTCCACCTATTTCCCCTCCTTTCTTCCTGCAGTCATTCCATAGGCCTATGCATACCCCTTCTATTCTCTTCCCTTAATAAACACTTATAGTGGGTTTTGTTGTACCTTGTGGCTTTTCTTGCGTGGTAAACTGTGACACTTAATAAATAACATTAGTGCCGAGACAAAGAAGGCCCTCCTGGTGCTCTGTGTCTGAGACCCTGTACTGAGGTTTGCTCAACCTAGCTCAACCTACAGCTGCCCACTTTTCCATTTGCCCAGCCATGGAACCGCTTCACACAACAGCGGCTGCTCAGATTGGTGAACTCGTGGGAATGACCATAGATTGTCCCTTCTTTCGCTTGATGAAGCATTGAATGACTTGTGCCTGCCACTGTTGGACCCTCGTCATTGGGCTACATATGCCCCGACCCTCATTCTCTGGCTTGGTGAAGCGTTGAATGACTCATGCCAATCGACAATTCTCACTTGATCTCGGAGACACCTGAGATTATAGTCTTGGATCATGTTTATTTCTTTATTTTTTTTCTCTCTGCCTTGGTCATGGAAAATAAAGCTTCCAACCCTATTAGTCCTACCTCTTCCCTGGGAGAAACTTCTAGAAACTCTTAAGCCTCTCACCTTAATCCCTTACTTAGAGACCTCTAAGCTTGTCTGCTTTTGCACTAAAAAGTAACCTAAATATCCCTTAGATAACAATAAAAAATAGCCACCTAATGGCTCCTTGGACCTCATTATTTTACAGGAATTATCTAACTTCTGCCAGTGAATGGGCAAATGGAAAGAGTTACCTTATATCCAGGCTTTTTTTTTTTTAAACCTCAGTTCCAAACCCTGCCTTCTTAACTCCTTCTCTCTTGCCCACATGCTCCTAGCTATGCAACCTGAACCTGAGGAATCTCTGACTGTCGCTCCAGACCCTGCACATGAGTCTCCGCCTATCAGACCTCCTGCTCCTGTTCCTCAGGTGTCTGTCCCTTCGACTCCTCCTCTAGCCCCCTCCTTTTCTCCAATTTCAGGCGGCTCCAACCACCTGACCCTGGCTCCAACCTTTACCCCACCTATCACTCCTTCTCAAGCTGTTAAGGGATCAAACTCTGGCCAAGCCAAACTGACAACCATTCTCCCTTTGCCAGAGATGGCAGGGGTGAATGGACTGGTTAAGTTTCACAACTCTTTCTCCCTCATGGAACTTACTCAGACAGAAAAAAAAAAAAACCTGGGCTCTTGTACCTCTAATTCTGCTTCCTTTATTAAACAATTCCAATATATTACTTCATAAGACTGCCCTCAAACCAGTAAACTATGAAAAGCTAAAAACATAATTCAGGATAAGGAAGAAAATCCTTCTCATTTTTAAGAATGGCTTAACAATATACTAGTCTGGATCCTGAGAGCCCAGAGGGCAGACAGCTCCATATGACCCACTTTGTCTCACAGAGCTTCCCCAACATTAGAGCTAAACTTAAGTGTCTGGAGAGAGGGCCTCTGACCCCCAGAGAAGAAGTCTTAGAGGTGGTATTTAAGGTACACCATGGGAGAGATGAGAAATCCCATAAACAGAACTATCAAATGCTGGCACACACTATCCAACTGGCCAACCTAAGGCCTCCCAGTCCCTATTTTAAGTGTGGTAGGGAAAGCCATTGGGCTTGTGCCTGCCCTGCCCCAAAATGGCCACCATTTGGACCTTGTCCAAAGTACCACCAAGAGGGAAACTGGTCAAATGACTGCCCCCCTTGCACCTTGTGGCATGGGGACATCAAACAAAGACCACCCTCCATCCAATCTCCTAGGGTTGGAGATGGATGGGGATTGAAGGTGCCCTGTTCCTGACCTGACTACAACCATCTCTCACAGGGAACCTAGAGTAGCCATTACAGTACTGAGATGATCCATTTCCTTCCTTTTGGACACCAGAACAACTTACTCAGTCCTAAGGGAGTTTCAGTGTCCCGTCACTCCTTCTTGTCTCCCTATTGTTGGGGTAGAGGACAGACTTACCTACCTCACCGGACCCCTCCACTTAGTTGTATTTTCAGGGGTACCCCTCTCACCCACACATTCTTAGTTGTGCCAACATGCCCTCTGCCCCTAATGGGAAGAGATTTTCTAGCTAAGGTAGTAGCTTTTATTTCATTTGCTCTCCCCATTTGCCGACTCCAGACTCACCTGCAGATCCTCTCCTCCTCCTCCTAGCCACCCAGCCTATTAGCGCTTACATTTCATTTCCCTTGCCAGCCTCTCAGGTGGACCCCAAAGTCTGGGATACCCAGAACCATTCTATTGCTAGGCACCACACCCCTATTATTATCCAGTTGCAGGACCCTATCAGGTACATTACCCAAGTTAGCCTTAGGGGACTTAAGCCTGTCATTTCTGACCTCAGAAAAAAAGCATGTTCGAGGTTTCTCTCTCTCTCTCTTTCTTGTTAACACTAACCAATAAAATTCTGATAGCAGAGTACTAAACATTAATTCTTTCAAGCTCCAAAGAGTGCTTGAATCCACCAGGACAGGTCAGATCCACTTCAGATAAGTATAATTCAAACTTTTCTTCTGCCTCACCAGCACCTTGTCAGACCCAAGCAGTCACAGAGCCTGAAGCAGAGGAAGACAATGGACGATGCCCAAAGCAGTGGAAGACAATCCACTACTTCAGGATGTCCAGCTACCCCCAAATCCCCCTTTCCTTCCCCCAAAAGTTACCCGACGCCCACCAAGTCAGCTGGAAGCAATTTTGGGAGACATGGCACCCCCATTCCCATTTAACTGCCATTTTAATAAAAAAAAATAAAGAATCTGGAATGTCAGAATCCCTAGTCACTCCCCCAGCTACATGACTGCATGTGCACTGTCCAGTAGCTAGGCAAGATACTTAGTCATCCCAGGGCCTTATGTCCTACACAATCTGTGCATGGTGTAATCACATAATTTGTGAGCAGCGTGATCACATAATCAATGAGCATGTGTGATATAGCTATGTAAGCCCATGTACTGCATGTGTGGGAAGAACCTATAAAAGCGGGTTCCACCTATTCCCCTCCCTGTCTTCCTGCATGGTCATTCCATAGGCCTATATACACCCCTTTTATTCCCTTTTTTAAATGAACTCTTATAGTGGGTTTCATTGTGCCTCCTGGCCTCTCTAACATGGTAAACAGCACCACTTTATCAATAACACCTTCCTCCTTCACTATTGTCTGACTAGATTGGGAAACAATGTTTTCTACAAGCTCATTTTTTTAATACTACAAATACTCCAAAATTAGTGAGTGCAACAGAATACTTAAAATCTCTTATCTCAAACATTTTCATGTTGTAAGTTATGTTCTCACAAATAAAATCATTTTCAATTATTTCAGACCCTTATTGTGCTTATGTGCCCACATTGCTTCCTGTCAAACCTAGCAGCATTGAGGCAGACTAGGGAGATGTTGTATGCTGCTAGTTAGCACTGTAATTTCCACTTTATTTGTGTGCCAGTTGCACTAAATAGAAATCAATGCTTCCATCAAATGTTACATCAAGGAAGTAGTTAGAATTAATTTACTACCATGGTGACAAAGGGGTCAATAAAGATACACAGGAAGTTAAAATTACACCTCCCTTCCTTGACAATGAAGTAAGCCAATGGAGAATTTTGCTTTGCCGGTTTTATTTTTGGTGGGACTCAGTTGATAACTGGTTATCTATGCACAATCCTTTTTTTTTTCTTTTTACTTTTTCTTTTAAACATGGGAGAGCATGAACGTAGTTCCCCACTACCACAGATTATGGAGTCAAATTTCCTGCATTTGCGGAAATCGCAGGGATCAGCACATCTGTAGTGCAATGGATAAGCCTCACTCTGGGAAAAACCACCTTCATGATCATGTCTATACCCAATCTTCATCTGGTGTCACACTCAAGTATATCGCATACACAAGAAATGATCAAATAATATTTAGATTTCTTTTAGCAAAGTATAGAATTTCTAAAACATTATGGAAAATTTTCTCGTTATTTAAAACAATTGATTTTTTGGGGGGGAGTAAACAATTGATAGATGCCTAAACTGAGATAGGTAAGATTTGATAAATATATCCAACAAAGATTTTTAGAACATAATCCCATAATATCGTGAACAAATATGCATGAGAACAACTGAAAGATGTAGCAACATATAAAGACTCATTTACATTAACCAAAATAAAAATAAGAAACCCAAACTTCCCTGGTATTCCTAACTGCCAGGGCAGATAGTTAAGGTTTCCCCAGAAGACAGAGGTTATTAAGAGAAACTTGCAGTACAAGGCATAGGATACCTCCCTCCCCATTATAGGCCCAGGAGGCTCCAGAGCTCCACCAAACAGTACAGGCTATTGCCACTGCTCTTAGTTACTCACCGTAACTTCATGGTAAGATCGTACTGTTGAAGACATCTTATACTTTGGCTTCAGGATATAGAGATATGAACCATACACTTATCAGGAAGCTTCCTCCCTCCCACCCAGCTTTCACAATGCTAGAAAGTTCTATGCAGATTCTTGGAGAAAGAAAAGAAAATGATCTACCCAGCAGCACTGGATTCTGCTATTTGCAATATCAACCTGCGAGGCAAGATGTGCCTACTGAGTCAATAGGGGAAGGACTGTTATGAGGTAACTAACTGCTTTCTAACTGTATTTGAGGTCCACCCTACAAGGACTCCAATCCTTGTCCAAAGCCCATGGCTGAGAATGTTCAGTGCTCTAGACTAGAACCTTCTATAATTATTTTGCTAAATGGTTTGTACTAAATATTTAAGTTTATACACATAAATATTCTCATTCTTGGTCAAAGAAGCTTCCTTTTGAACCAGACAGCAATCCATATAAAGAAGTATAACTGGTGAAAGTACTGAAAATAAAGACTGTGTGCTGACCCATAAACTGGATATTTATATTAGTCTTTCTTCACTCCAAGGATCTTGAGACATCTTGAAGGAGGATCTTTCTTCCAAGGCAGAAAGTATGTAAAAATAAAAAAGATGAGGAGAAGAGTTACAAAATGATTAGAAGACAGGAAAGGAAATAGAGACCTGGATACAATAAATCAGTCATGAAACAAAGTCCTCAGCGGTGGGGTTATCAAGCACCAGGGATACAGTCTCTTGCAGTTCAGGAAAGTGAAGAGATCAAGAAAAGAACAGACAAGTACACAATTTCTAATCCTAGTTCCATCCTTACAAATTCAACTTTCTCACACAGGTTTGATTTTTAGGAGTAAACATGAGCTGTGATTTTTACCCATTAAACAGTCCTGCAGGCACTTTGTCATTCTTATTTACATCTACATAAAAGTTCCTGAGTAATATGAGTACATATTTATATGCCCTTTTCAGATTCTACTTTTTATATAACAGCCTCCAAGATCTTCTCTCTATTTAGGATTATAGGCTAAGTTGGTTTGAGTCACCAAAGCACAGTAGTGTTATATTTAATAAGAATCGTATCAAGAAATTATGTTACCTGAAGAAGGGATTCACACTTATAATCACAACCCTCAGGGCAATAACCAAGAGTGTGAGGCCAACATACATTAAACAGTGAGAATAGGAAATTACATATTACAAGGTCTCACCTTAATAAAAGTGGAAAACAAAAGAGAAATAAAACCAACTTACAAAAACAAAGGTAATATCAAACACAAGTAAAATTATATAAAGAAAAGTTAAGGAGAGCAATTACATTAAAAGTTTATTTATAAAAAGATAAAAGCATAAATTTCTAGAAAGCTTAGTATGAAATATAAGAAGGGACAGAAATCACTAACAGTCACACTAAAATGGAGAATAATTTACATATATATGTTATATATTAAATGCGTATTATAAGATAATGTCAACAGCTTTAGCTCAATATTTGTATAAGACAGACCAAGTGAACTCTCAAGTTCACTGTATGAGAAGTGCAAAGCACAGGTTAGCCAATATGAAATGAATAACTGATTGAAAATGAAATATTACATAAAATATGTAATCAATATGGAGCAAATTAAATCTAGAAAACTAAAAATATTATTATGAATTAAAAAAACATGCACTTTAATTAATTTAATTCTGTTTAACATAACCATAGCTATCTAGGCAGTGCTGAACTGCCAGAAATAATGACAATGATGCATGGAACATAGAGATCCTGAAAAAAAAATATAATCTCACACCATTTGGATATTTGTAGGCTAAGACAAAGAAGGGAGGGAGAGGGATGGAGGTAAGGGAAGCATAGGGGAAAGGTTAACAGAAGGCAAAGAGGAAGGAGAAGGGATGGAAAATGGAAGGGGGGGGATTTTATTCCCTCAGCTTTCCATGAAAGCCAACTCAAAATGGATTCTAAATTTAAAACTAAAAAGTGCCACAAAACTTCTAGATACAAAGATTGGATAAACTCAGGGTAATACAGGGACAAACAAAATTATTATTGGATGTGACATTAAACATGATGCAAAGTCAGCTGACATACTGTTTGCACTACTTAAAACTTTCATTCAAAGCCTGTTAAGAGGAAGAAAAAGAATTGATTCTTGAATATTCAAACAGTCCTCAAAATTCAGCAGATAAAAAAAATCATATAGCACAGTAAGAGTGTAGCTGAAAGACATAAATGGATATTTTTACCAAAAAGACACTGTAGTAAGAACATGAAAAGAGAGTCAGCATTCTTAGCTGTCAATGGAAGTGCAATTATGAAACCACAGTGTGGTTCACATACTAAGGTAGGCTAAAAATTGTAAGAAAAATATTTGATCTCTTAAACTATTACCTATGGTTGAGTACGCACTCATGGTGTGTGTGTGTGTGTGTGTGTGTGTGTGTGTGTGTGTGTGTGTGTGTGTGTGTTTATGCATTTTAAGGATTGTCAACCATAGTCTCAGAAATTATCAGACAGCTGAAGCTGTAGTAATTTTTAATATCTACAGTAATTTGAGTTGTCCTCACGATAAGCATGAATGTTCAATAGCAAGGTTATATTACTCCTTCTATCCCTAGACTGCTGCCTCTTGTTCAGTTCTGCCTTCTGAGGCAGGCAAAGCAAGCAGAGCTTATCTCATCCTCTGTGACAGGTGAGGAAAGTCAGTTTCCCACTATTTGTATTTTGATATCTATATAACATGTCACTATTAAAAGAGATTTAAGAAAGATTCAATGATATTTTCTGTAAGTTTTGTATCATTTTAAGAATCTACATTTCAGGACAGAAGTTTAAAAGATCACATACTTGTGAACTGGCATCATTATTTATAAGTATCTACATACAGGACTTTTTTGTGTTTTAAAAAATGATGGATTTCAATTTCTCATTATATATTATTGTTCATATGTAACTATTTCAATGAAATTTAATGATCAGAAGCAGTTTGACCCCAGTACAATTAAATGATTTCTCAAATAAGAATTCCATTAATATTAGATATAATGATGAAACACACTATGTTATTACTGTATATTTAATTTCACTATTGAAATTATGATTTTTTTACTTGTTATTTTAATATGAAATGTAAATTATTTATGATTTGTCGCATAACAAAATTTACATATCTTTATACCCCTCATAATTCATTTTAAGGATTTTTTTTTTGGGGGGGGGAAGAGTATTCAGGATCCAAATCATTTTCCTATGAAGAATTCCCTGAAATCTTTGTCTGAGATTATAAAAGTGAGATTGGTAGGTTAGATATTGAAGAACTAAATTATAGTACAGAAACCTATTCAGTGATGTGAAGACTTCTAAGTAAGGATCTTACCCAATGTCTCTGATTTCCCTGTGTCCTAAGGCAGTATTGAGCATTAAGGGCTGGCTTTCTTTCCTTTGGAGGGGGTTGGTACGGGTGAGAAAACTCCGAACTTGGCAGTAGAGGTACTGGAGATTAATGCTTTAGCTTCCTCTGTCACAGTCTCCGCCCAGTGATCCATCCAAAACCGGTTTATCCTCACCCTCAGAGCTCTCAGTGTCATTTTCTGCTGAGGTTTTCTGGGACTCAGCCCAAAGACTAGCCTTCTTCTTCTTGATGGTGTCATCTGTAAATGCTATGGTTACCGAGTTTTTATTTCCAGCAAACAGTTACGCGGTTTCCATCTGCTTTGCATCTTGTGGATAGTATTAGAATCTTTTGTCTCCCACTTTCACTGTATCCATTACAGCTTACTTTTCTCTTCTCTCCTTTTTTAACCACATTATAATTGAGTCCCAGAAAAAAGCAAATACATGTGCTTGCAAATGATTTTCAAGTTATGGGAAGTATGTTATTTGGAATTCAAAACAGGTAAATATACAGAGCAACCATTAGTAGCACCATAAATTTCTTCCTATGATAGAAAGCATTGCACTACATTGTATTCCCAGAAGAATTAGGTGGTTGGGGGGTTTGAGAAATCAGTAAACAAATGAGACCTGGCAGCAAATACTCACACACATTAACATAACCAGTTCTGGAAAGAAATTGAGATACACCATCATCACACTGTCCTTCTCGACATAAATTCATCCCTACTACCTAAGATACAAGTGTCTCATAATGTTGCCAAAATTTACATTTATGCTTCTGGATGAAAGTTACATTTATTCATTTCAAACAACAATAAATAAATAGAAAAGGAATATTTTCATTATAATTATTTTATAAATAGAAAGTAGCAATTGTTACATTTCTCTTCATTTTGTTCCTTCAGGATTAAGAATTTGCTCAATAAGAAAAGCAAAAGTTGCAGAATAGAGTGAAAAATGACTGCAGTGCAATTCATGACTCTGGAATTTTGTCAGTTTTATACAGGGCTCTTATCCTGTTCAAGGCCCTGAGGCTTTTGCTATCTTTAAGACTGGATAGAAATGCTGAGTGTGTTCAGGCGTGACTGCACGCTCAATTAGACATGG